CTCCGGGCCTGTCCCCGCTGACAGCCGCGCTCCACCCCGCCCCGCCTTACGTTCCGGCCCCGCCCTGCCCCGCCCCTGCCAGGGTTTCCTGGAAGCAGGGGCTGCGAGTGCCTGCCCTCTCGTTAGCCTGAACCCCAGACCCCTGGGGCACAGAGCGCTGAGGCCATCTAGGCTTGGCACTGAGGGGACTCATCAACAGTGTATTCCCAGGCTTTTTAGAATGTTTCAATTTAAAGTATCAGTTTAAATGATAAAAGCAATGGATGCTTGTGGTGTAAACCGTGCAAGCAACTCAGAAATAATTACAGCAGACAAGCACAAAAAATTAAAAGTTAGTGATTTCTCACCTTGCCACTTTTTAGTAGAGAGAAGAAAAATGTCAGAGCCCTTTTCATTATTAATTATTATACAATTCAACCTTATTTGAATTGTTTTTAAATAGGTTTTTAGATTATGATGTCAGATGGAAAATCTTATCACTCAATCCGAATGGGCTTTCAATTAAATGTAACAAGCTCTTACTGGGTACATCTCATCACATGGCAGAGAGAATTGGGCTTTGGCGTGGGTTCGAATGCTAGCTTTGCTACTTACCAGCTGTAGGGCTCTAGGTGAGCTCCTTAAACCTCCCCGAGCTTCATTCATTTCAGCTGAGAAAATGGGGAAATTATCTACCAGGTAGTGCAATTTTCAGAATTAAATGAAATCAGATACATACAGCACCTAACATTTTAGGCAAGCAAATAAGAGAGGACACAATAAGTGTTAGTTTCCTTGCACTGTGTTCAAAGCTTTGTAATTGAGTAAGAGTCACGATCGGGGTGCTGGGGGGGAAGGCAGATACACACTAGTTATTCCATATACAGGCTTCAGTAAGCACTAAGGAAGTACAGTAACTGTCCCATCCCTTATGTCCCACTAGAGCTTTCTTCACATGTAATACTGACCTGGCATAAAAGGGTGTATTTCGGTTTCTCAAAGACATACACAACTGTGCTACTGAAGCTGAGGTACCATCATACGATGCATTTATTTACTTATCTAGCCAAGATCCTAAATGTGACAGCCTTTTAGGAAGGATAAGACTTATGTGTGAAATGACAATCAGCATGCTTCTAAAGCCTTGTTTCACAGTAATTAGACCACAAGAAAAACACACTTCAACTAACCACTTGTGCACATATACTTTAATATTTAGGCTTAGGTGAAGACACCTTAAATGGCAGGTATTAAAATATGTTTGGGAAGACAACCCAAGAATTGCACAATCCACAACAAAATTTGAACATCTAGGCCACATAACTTGTGTTTTCAGGCCTGAAAATCTCCTTAAGCTGTTCCAAAGCTTCTTTATTAACTAGACAGGTATATTTAAGCTTTAAAATTTTTTAAACGTTGATCTTTTTTCAAAGGCACATGGAGATTCTCTTAATATTAAAGATATAACATTTACTTCATATTCCGTGACCAGAACCTTTCTGGTAAGTGACCTTCATATGGATTATAAGACTCTCTACATGCCTTTACATAGCAATACATTTGCCAGCTCTAGCTCATACCTGAATGCTGTGGACAACTGCCTTGCACGCTGGGCTGGGACCCAGGCCCTCACAGGCTTGCTGAACTAACTGGACAGTTTGTCAAAGAGCAGGAAATGCAACCAGGCTTCTCTCCCTCTTGCGTGTCAATGGCGTACACAGTGCTAACAGCCAACGATTGTTCAGTTTAGTCACAATATTTTAAATCAAAGTTCCATATTCTTAGATCAGAAGGTACCAAAGAAAGCCACCCCTATTGATGGAATTTTAAAAATAACACAGTTGCAATTATAAAAAAGAAATTGGTTAAAAGGCAAAATGTGTCCTTTACATACTTATTTGACAAATGGCAACAAGCATTCAAAAATTTAGAGTCAGTGCATTGGTGACAGCTATCACAAAATTGATTACACTGGTTTCAGCTGTCTCAGAAACAAGCTTCCGAAGTTGGAGACCGTGTCCATCTTAGCTGGGTTTTCACACCTCAGTGCTAGCACCTGCCGTCAGACCACCACTCAGCACCAAAAACAATCACCAGCCCCTCACTGAGGTTTTAAGTTCTTGTGGCAGTCTGCAGGGGACAATGGCCTTGACTTCTTGGTTGGAGATTTAAAAAAAAAACAACAGCAGCATTTAACATTTTAAAATTGGGAAACAAGTCCAGATGAGGTTATAAACTTTTCTATCTGAAGGCACAAAGAACAAAGTTGGCAGGTAGCTGATAAAACCAGGCATATATAAATACAGTTTAAAACACTTAAAAAGTATAAATATTTGTGTATTGTTTTTCCTCCAGTCTGGCTGTTGCTGAAAATACCTGCTAGTTCCACTTGGTAACGTGATTTCTGAAAGATGACTGCTGGAACCTTTGACGCTCAAGAAGACATAGAGTCACCTTAATTCATCAAAAAGGTCATCGCAAAGGGCATCGTTGCCCGAAATTCCAAAGAGTTGCCTGAAAACTGAAATAAGGCAGAATTTCTTTAAATATTTAGGTAGTTCAAACCTAAACAGAATGGCCTGATAAAGTGCAGATACATAATTATCAAACATGTACAAGAATAATACATGACGTGCGAAAAGAGACTGCAGAAAGGGCTGGCTCTTTTGCTAGTTAAAAGTTTTAAGCATTTTCTTCCTTCGCAATTGCTGATGCAGGAGACACACAGCCTAACCGGGCAGCCTGAACTCCCAGGAATGGTTGTAAGATGACCAGATGAGGCATAAATTTCTTGCCTATTAATAGTTTCCCGGCTGTTAGAAGCCTACAGACATTGGCAAGCAAATGTGATCACGGGTTTTTCTTGTCCCAGGGCAGGAATGCCACAAGGGACCATAATGGGGGTCACACTGTACATTGTTTACAATGGACACAAACACACAAAATGACTTTTTTTCTTTTTTAGCTTATTAAAGCCAGAATGTTCCAAAGAAGGCATCCACCAAGGGTAAAAAGTCCCAATGTCACAATGATGATAAATAACAGCTATATTCACAGAGACCCAATCAGGACACACGCAAAAGCCACAGGCTTTCCCAGCGGGAGGATGCAGGCCTTTCCAAAACCACCTGCCTGGGCCTTCTTCAGAGGGGCCAACGCACCCATGAGTCTACCCACCCAGCACCCCGCCCCAGCATAGGACACAGCTCGGCCTTCTGGCACCTGAGGTTACTTTTTAGACCAAGTGACACAGACGATGCAAGTAGAAGACAGGACGGGCCATGCCAGCACACCTTACAGTGGGAAGTGAGGTCAAACGACCTCGGTTAGGAGATGGGGTGTGAGAAAGGGCCACTGCCCAGATGCGAGAGCCCAGCCAGGAAGTGACCGCGGGTGCGGCCTGCGCGCGGAGTCTCAGATGAAGTGAATCCAGCTCTCCTCGCACTCCCCGCGCGGCATGTGCAGCGCATGGTTGCGGCACGTGAGGCTGTAGTCGCGGCCGTCGTTGTTGTCCCAGTACTCGGCGCCGGCCACACAGTAGCGCAGCGCGAAGTGCACGCGGGAGCCGAGCTTCAGCAGGAAGGGCGGCACCGGGAAGCCGAAGGTGAAGACGTCCTCGGCGCCCTCAGTGCCCACCGGCCCGCGCCACCGTGCCACAGCCTCGTGCACGCTGCGCCAGTCGGAGAACGTGTAGCGCACCACCACCTGCTTCTCGAAGGCCAGGTTGCGCACGCGCGCCGTACCGCTGATGCCCAGGTCTGAGCAGGTGACGCGCTCCAGACACACGAGCTGCCGCCCCAGGCGCTCGCCGAAGTCAGGGGTCTCGATGGGCGGCGGGAACTCAGGCACCAGGCACTGCAGGGTGAACTCCAGGTCCTGGCTGCTGCAGCACAGGTCCGAGTTGATGGCGAGCCGCGATAACACGTGCAGCGGCACGGACGGGTCGTCCCCCGCGTTGAACACCTTGACCTGCGCCAGCTCCAGGCCCAGAGCGTCGGCGAAGCGCACGCGGTGCTGCCGGCTGCAGCCCGGCCGGCACGCAGCGCCCTGCGCGCCTGCGCCCTTATGGCGGCGCTCAGGCGAGTTGGGCAGCGAGCGCGCCCGCCTTAGGATAATGGGCCGCAAGCAGGGGTCGCAGCCGGACGGCGCGGGCGGCGGCGGCGGCGCGCTGCCCGGGCTCCCGGGGGGCCTGCAGGGCCGCGACTCCCGGGCCACGCCGCCGTCCAGGTCCGAGAGGCAGCTGAGGCTCCGCGGGGCGGGCTTCCGGAAACCGGCGGCGGGGAGGACCGCGGAGCCCGGGCCTCTGAACATGGCCCGGCCGGCCGTCGAGCGATGGGGAGGTGGAACCGAGGGGCGGCCTTCCGACCCCGCGTCCGCTCCCTCGGTGTCCCCGGCCGTGCTCAGCTGCCCCTGGGGAGGGTCCGCCGAAACCTATGACTGCAGGGGATCCAGTGGGCCGGCTGCGCCCTCCCCTCGACAGCCACTTCGCCCCTCGAGTCCTCGCCCGGGTTTTTCGCTTTGGGCAGCAAAAAAAAAAAAAAAAAGCTGATTTCAATCGATGAGTGCTTGCTCTCGTGGAAGCTTTTCGGGGCCACCGCGGAGCGCGGGGTGGCGCCGGCCTTCTGCTTCCTCCCGGGTGCCTGGGGGAAGGCGGTGTCCGCCCAGCGGCCGCTCCCACCCCCGGGGCCCTGGCGTTACTTACACGGCTGCAACTTGTCGGTGCAACTTCCCGGCGAGCCTCCGCCCCGCCCCTCGTGACGCGGCCGCGCGCGGACTCCCGCAGCCCGAGCGCCGCCGCCGCCGCGCCTGCAGCAGCGCGCCGCAGTCCGGCCTCCCGCCCAGGCCCGGGAAGGAAGGCCGGCGGCCGCGTCAAGTGTCCTCGGCGATCGCGAAACAGGTCTGATCAATCTCTGTCCGCGTCTGCCTGGCCCGCCCGCCGATCGATCATAGTTCCGCGTCTGCACAAACGGAGGACCAGGAATGTGCATGCTGCTGGTCCTCGGATTTCTGGGTTAATGGGGGCAGGGGAGGCGTGCAAAGACCGGCCTTTCCAGGAGCTCGTCCCCAGGCTGATTTTAAGCCTCGAGTCTAGCCAGCTCTTTGGACGTTTGCACTGCAGCATGGACCCTAGGCCAGACCGAGGGAGCCTCGCTGCGTAGAGAAGAAGCGTCCTGTCCTCACGGCACCCACAATGCTTTGCCGCCCGGGACCGTCCCCGGGGGTGGGGAGCAGGCGGCGTGGCTGCGGCTGCGGCTGTCTCGTGGCGCCGCGCCAGAGAGGAAGATGTGGGAGTAACAGTTCATACCCTGGGGTGACATATACGGTTGCCTTTAAGCAAGCAGCCTCTGGCTCTTGGGACGCATTTCTGGAGCCAGAATCTCAGACTTTTAGCTTTGTTCCGATGGGAGCCGGAACCGTCAGGGAAACCGCAGCTTGTTTTCTGCGTCCTTAGGGACCCTGCAGGCTGTCATCTGTCTCTAATTTGGTGCAGAAAACGGCACAGCCTAGGGTGTAAAGCTTGCCAGGTGAAGGCGAGAAGATGGGAGTGCACCAGGCTAATTGGAGGAGGGTTGGTAAAGAACGTTTTCTACGCCCAAAACGAATCAAGCCGTTGATTATGGTATAATTCATTCATTGTGAGGGCCCGCATGTGTTTTTTATTCCCATCGTATGTACACTGACCAAAATGGCACACGTGCTTCTTTTGAAAAATAACACAGCAAAGTTTTAGGAAGGAAATAAAAATCTTCTATAATCCCACCTCTTCCATTTTTCAGAGGCAGGGGATATTATGGAAGAAAGAAATACGTATTCACGTTCAAATGGGGCACTTTTAGTAGCCCACTCAAAATAAGAGGCGAAAAGCAACCTTGGGTGGTACAAATCAACAAAATGTCACAAAGAGATAACATCGTGTGATGTGTATGAAGATACTGATATGACTTTTTCGTGGACTGATGTGATAGTGAAGGCAGGAGACTTGAAAGAGAGCCTCCACAGCAGAGTTTAAGCTCCACAAGAGCAGGGCATGTGTGTAATCCTGCCGTTTTCTAGGCACTCCTGTAAGTGTTTGTTGAAAGAACGAACGAATGAATGAATGAATGAATGAATGGACATGGGAACTTCGGAGCAACACCCGACCTTAATTAGCCCCACAGATTTCCACAGCATGTTATTTCCAAGGGGATTTTGTGTGTGGGTATGTGTGGGTATGGGGAGAGAGAGAGAGGGAATCCATTTGTAGTAGTGTGATCTTGTATCTAATATCCACTGTGAAAAACAAACAAGATTAAACCGTAAATAGAAGGCAATATCCTTCCACCAGTTTTTCTATACAATTTGAATATTTAAGAACAAACAAGTGAAAACCAACACAATACTGGTGATAGGACCGTTTGCAGTCAGTACTTACCGACACTTCTGTTGCTTCTAGTTCCGGTGGTAAGGAGTCCTTTCCAAATATAAGAGGAATAAAGAAGTTACTTCCCCTGCTGCCATCATCTCCCAACAGACTGAGCAAGAATATTTCGAGCGCTACAGCAAAGGTGATGTGAACTTTGAAGTAAAATCTTATTTAGATTTGTTGGGTTTCTTTTCCTGTTTGTTTCTTGTGTGTGTGTGTGTTCAGGGTATTTATTAACTACGTGTCTGTTTTTTAGACAGTCCATCAAACCCTAGATGATGATCAGCCGTGTGACTTTTTCAAGAAAGGGAATAGGGTGAATAAATCTTATCAGAAAAGCAGGTAAATCGTTTTTCATGTAATTGCTTTATCTTGCAAAAGGCACGTTATCTCAGTTCTCCAGATTGATATGTGTGGTTGGGAAAAAATATGTCTGTTGATAGGAAATATATACTTATATTTCTTGTCTGGCAAAAATGATTTTAAACATTACTAGTTGGTAAAAATTCCAGAGGTCATAATTCTTGCACTGTTAGCAGAATCCACAATTTTGGGTAAATCCCTTAATCATCTATGTTAGTTTCCTTTTATATAAAAAGGATACTGTTAACGTTTATGGATGCACACAGACAGCTAGAGGTAAATGAAAGTTTTAACAATATTGGCTATGAGTTCTAAATAATGGCAATTCCTTTATCCATTTTGTCAACATTTATTGAGCACGTGTTACGCTACTGGCAATGATTTAACCTCCAACGTGTTTATTTAAGAAGTGACACATTTTCAAGTAATTTCTTAGTGTGGTGGAAACACAGACGAATGTAAACCAGACAAATGAACCTCTGAGGTTTCCACAAAGCATGTTTACCACCCTTTTTTTTTTTTTTTTTTGCGGTACGCGGGCCTCTCACCGCTGTGGCCTCTCCCGTTGCGGAGCACAGGCTCCGGACGCACAGGCTCAGCGGCCATGGCTCACGGGCCCAGCCACTCCGCAGCATGTGGGATCTTCCCGGACCGGGGCACAAACCCGAGTCCCCTGCATCGGCAGGCGGACTCTCAACCACTGCGCCACCAGGAAAGCCCTACCACCCAATTCTTTTAACCCCACCAGACTGATATTGCTGAGAAGTATTATTCGTCTTGGCAAAATGCTACGTTCTTGGTAAATAAGTCAAAGAGAAAATATTTTCAACTCTGATGTGAGACCCTGTCTCAGAATAAATTAGAGGAAGAATCAGTTGCCATGCTGGTAATGCACACAGTATTCACAATGTCTACTTCCCCGCCATTCAAAGGATTGCATTAAACCTAGTTTTTAAATTCATATTGTGTTAAAAGGTATGATTTTATTCCTATTCCTCTAAACAGCTTTTCTGAGTGTGTTTTCTATTTGAAAACACTTTGATAAGCTTTTGGTCTAAGGTGTAGGTTGTATATGCTACACTTTTCCTTAAGATTTTTGTCAGCTCAGAATTACCACCAATCAGTGATTAAGTTCTGTAAAACTTGTATTTTCCATCCTGTTTACATTTAATTGAAAATAGGTATATAAAAGAAAGCTGTGGATTTTACTTGTTCGTGTTATTAAACACTGCTCATCATTAACAGGACAGAGTCCTATGAGAGATGTTACCAATGTTTAAAATGATAATACAAACACTTTATGAAATGTTAGTATGTTTGATGTAAAACAGAATCCATGCATGTACTCTGGCACCTGCTCTATGATGTTTCCTAAGTAGAGTGTCAAGTGGAAAATTGTCCCGTAACTTGTTCTGTGAGTTTAGAGGCCTCACATTTCCTAATGCCTCGTGGTAGCTGAAATATACCACCAGGGGGTTCTTTTGGTTCCGTTGTTCAGTCATCGGCTGGCCAGTTTTTGTCAGATGGACTAAGAATTGCAGGTTTATTTCTCGCAGCAATATGAATGCAGGCCCCTCTTGGAATAAAGGACAGCGTCCAAAGAATTCAAGAAAAAGGCAGAGTAAATCCCAAGTCCCCCATATCTCGTCCCAGCTGAAAAGCAGTCTCGGAGGATGTGTCCCCCAACCAACTGAGGATAAACTGAAGGAAAGCATTTCCCCGGAAGGAAACCCCAAAAGGAGTCCCCTTGGCTACAGGTGTCGGGGGTCCTCAGGGAACAAGTTGTTTCTGGACTTTCAGACGATGAAAATTATCAAAGAAGATGCTGGGGAGGACAGCGCCAGTGACCTCTCTGATTCAGAAAGAATCCCCGTCCCCCCTTCTCCCCTCACGCCTCCAGATCTTCATCTTCGAGCCGAAGAGATCGATGCGGCTCACTTCGATCTGCACCCAGGGCAGGGTCCCACCCAACAGCCCGAATACTCTTACCCTGACTTCCTCCCGGCCCCGTGTAACTCCTGGGACCTGCGGGACATGGCTGTGCTCTTGCACTCTGAGCGCAGGACAGAGGCCGTGCCCAGAACCGGGGGGCTGCTGGGGAAGTACATCGACAGGCTTGTCCAGCTCGAGTGGCTGCAGATCCAGACTGTCCAGTGCGAGAAAGGAAAGGGGGCCAAGGCGAGGCCTCCCACTGCCCCTGGGACCTCGGGGGCTCTGAAAAGCCCTGGGAGAAGCAAGCTGATTGCCAACGCTCTGTCCAGGCCTCAGCAGGAAGGGCCTCCGAAGTCAGGCCCTTCACGAAAGAAAGACGTGCACCGCGAAGAAGTCCATCCATCCTATTACACATGTGAGGCTTCCACCAAACCCCTCGATGTGCTGGATAGCAGCAGACTGTGTTCTCAGAAGCAAACCCTGGACGTGCAGACAGAGGAGAAGAAAAAGAAATCCAACAAGAGCTCCAAGCTGCAGCACTGGGATCTGTCCTGTGGGGACAGCGGTGACCCTAAGATCAAGACCAGTGTGAACCTTCGCCTTCCCAGGCAGCCAGCGGTTATCGGGGACTCCACGGACACCTACAAGGCCTCCAGAGCGCCAGCACATGCAAGTCTTAAGCAAAAGGGAAATGCAAATAATTGTGCTCGAGCCACTGTATCCAGCGAGAAAAAGCTCAAAACAAATGGAGTAAAACAAAACACACACAAATTCAAATCATAACTGAGACGATGAATTGCAAGGACCTGCAGGTGCCTCAATATTAGAGCTCTTCCAAAAGTTACAATACTGTGAATTTTAAGAGACTTTGGGATTACTGACACTGAAGAGGTTGACCAGTTCTTTAGTCCACGCCACGCCCACCCAAGCCACAACAGGGTCGTTTCCAAAGAAGGGTGTCTTTCAGTAACCATATTTTGCGTTGACAGTCTTAGGCAAATGAGAGCCCTTCAGATAAAAATTAACCAAGGTCTGTGCCGTATAAAGAAATAAAACGACAGCTCTCCAAGGGAAGAGTGGACTAAACTTCTGAAACCTCAGCCAGGCCACGTACAGCGCAGGTAAATTAGTGCGTACTGCTTCAAACGGTGTAGAATCCTGAAGGTCTGAAATAGGGCTCTCTGCATCCTTATCCTAAACTATTCAAGCAGAAGGTCCGGGCATCTCACTCCTGGGGAAGCTTCGGCTCTTCCTCGAGTTACGGAGCAGCTATTATGAGCAAAGTCATTTATCACTAAGCTGCCTGCTCCTTCCAGACAGTGGAATCTAGTGCTTTCAAACACTTTCCCTGATATGCGTTTAAAAAAAACAAGGCCGGGCTTCCCTGGTGGCGCAGTGGTTGAGAGTCCGCCTGCCGATGCAGGGGACGTGGGTTCGTGCCCCGGTCCGGGAAGATCCCACATGCCGCGGAGCGGCTGGGCCCCGTGAGCCATGGCCGCTGAGCCTGCGCGTCCGGAGTCTGTGCTCCGCAACGGGAGAGGCCGCGACAGTGAGAGGCCCGCGTACCACAAAAAAAAAAAAAAAAAAAAAAAGGCCTTTTCAATATAGAGGTGGTGGCGAAGTCCATTTCTGTATTCTCTAAGCTGAACTTAAAATAGCGTGCAGGCTTCGTCCCAGTGGATGTCGGCGGGTCTAAGCACAGTTGTTAGCACGTGATGGGAGGAAGAATGAAACAGTTGGCACCAGAATCCCCGGCGTGTGTGGCTTCTCTGAAGAGGTGCCGTGGGAAAAATCATCAGTATGATGATCTGGCTTCATTTGCAGGAGCAGGACTTTATAACCTTGCTGGGAGCGGGCAGTGGGAGGGCGGACCGTGGACGAAGCTACTGAATGTCAACCTCCTCACCTGGCCCTGCGGCTTCCTGACTCCCCTAAATGCTTCTTATTTAACTGCTGTTAAGTCACATGTACTTGTCCCTATGGTTGTGCTGAGAGATTTCTCTTGATATTATGGTGAATATCCGTAGAACCTTTGCTTGACTACTTCTTGACGTACAGTATGTTTTAATGACTGTAGCTGATTTTATCCCTTCAAACGATTATTGTAGTTGTTTTTTTTTACATATATATTTGTTTCTGTTTTCTCACCTTTGGGACGAATGAAAAACTCGGCACTTTTCATCTGAAAATATTTACTAACTCGCAGACTTTTCACCCAGTAACTCAGTGTCATCCAAGGCACTGTTTAAGTTAACATAAAGACAAGATGCATTTATAAATAATTAAAATAATAGGCCGAAGTTGAATATTAAGATGCCCTTTTAAAATCTGATTTTAATTGTATTAAACAACAAAAGTTTTTACGGTAATCTTTTTTCTTCTAAGACTTTTTTTACAGAGTCCCTCTTATATTCTCTCTCACACCACCCTACTGGAGAAAGCACTGCTTACAATAAAATCTTATGCATTTTTATAAATGAACAAACAATGTACATCTGGCAGGCATTACTTCCATGGTTCGCAATTATACTATAACTTTTGTACTCAGTATAAGTATAGTGTTTTGAAAACAGTGCTAGTCTTACTTTTCCTTTCTGTGGTTCCTGAGTGGCACCCCACATGTCCCTCGACGGCCCTGCTCCAGTGAGTACAGATGGGTTAGTCCTATATACACTGCCGGCGTGTATATAGGACCCAATTCATGAGTCTTTCTCTGCTAGATTTTTTTTTTTTTTGCGGTACGCGGGCCTCTCACTGTTGTGGCCTCTCCCGTTGCGGAGCACAGGCTCCGGATGCGCAGGCTCAGCGGCCATGGCTAGTGGGCCCAGCCGCTCTGTGGCATGTGGGATCCTCCCCGACCGGGGCATGAACCCGTGTCCCCTGCATCGGCAGGCGGACTCTCAACCACTGCGCCACCAGGGAAGCCCTCTCTGCTAGATTTTTATGCAGCTCTTTATGAAGTATTCCGGGTCGATAAATCTCTGTAAGCACGTTACATATATTTACACACATCTATATACACATATATACGCCTGATATTAATCCCACAGGGTTTATGCTGAGCTGCCGCCTCTACCAGTAATGCACCTGTGCAGGTACCCTCAGAGACCTTTCCCGGCCTCGTGTATGTCTGAGCTGATTGAGAAATGCTGAGGTAACGCCTCGAATGTTCCATGTGTTCCTAGCTCTTTGACTTGAAGTTGGTTGCTTAATTTGGGGGGATAGCTATAATGTCACATGTTAAGACAGTTTTAAAAGCCTGAAAAAGTGGCTTGTTTACTTTTTTGCCTCGGGTTCGTAGTTTATTTTAACCAACATTATTGTGATTGGATCAGAGCTCCTAATGAATATAGGTTCATTATGAAAGATAAGCACAAGTTTATGATTTCTGATGCACGCATCTTAATGCAGTAAACGCTGCAGATAAAGACCTTGCCATTCAAGCAGACAACATTGGAGAGTTGAGTCAGGAGCTCATTCAGTGCATCAAATCGAAGCCATTGAATCTTGTGACATGAGCCATTGTATTTCTAAGAAGTGCCTCTCATTTCTGTGGAGTTGTTTACATACATGTTGCATTTAAACCGATTAAAATTATCCAATAAAATAAAATAAATGGTAGAAAAAAAAACACCCCAAAGTTTAGAGAATGTAAGAAGAACTGCTTCAAACTTAGGATCAGGGGGAAAAGTTGTAAAAACAGTACAAAAATGAATTACAAAAATATATCAGTATTAGCTACAATTGTTTAGGTTGAGACTGCTTCTCAAATCTTTAATGACTAAACTGGCTGAAGGTTTGTAACTTAACTGGAATAGGGTGGGATTGGTGGCTATGACAGAAAAGATGGGGGAGAGGATATCATTGATTAGTAGTGGTTCTTAGGCCTATTTGGTTAGTTTCCAGAAGGAAGAATTTCTACCTTCCATGTTTAAATATTATCTATTTCCTCTTTCCTTTGTGCTCATTTACATGAGTAGTAAAATAAAAATATAAAACTCTTGGTGGTACCGTATTTCAAGGTAATAGAGAAGCAGCATTTATTACTTATTCATGTACATGTACAGAGCACCATTCAAAATGGCCTGAAAATATTCAGCATGTTATTTGCTGTGTAATTATTGTATGCTTGGTTTTGTATATAATAAAACAATACACGTAGGTTTTTGTGAATCTGGACTTTTTCCTTCCTTGAGATCAATTAAACACTAGAAAAATATTGCCTGGATTTTTCTGGTATGGTTTTCATTTGCCGTTTATGCAGTTTTATTTCAGAGTTTGTCTTATTTCTCTCCCTGATTAGTTCAAAAAAACTGCTTGAGGGGGAAATTCTGTTCCAATTCCTTAATACTAAGGAGCATGCATGGCAACATTACTAGATGCATCTGAGGAGCATCCCTGGCTGTACCTTTCTTGGGTCCCTCTTCCTTTTATTACCCCCAAAGGTGGTTAGGGAAGCAGATGAAAATTCAATAAAATTGACATAACGTGGTAGAAATCTATTGCATGTGAACTTACGCATCCAGAAATGAGCCCCGTGCCTTTTCGAGGAAGCCCCCCGGCTGGGAGATGGCAGTTGTGGGCAGCTACTGGCGTAAGCGTTCTGAAAGGTTTCCTGCCCCTCTTTCTAAACTCACTCTGACAATGAGGCGCCCTCTTTTGAGTCTACCAAATAGTGGCAGTTTAAAAAAATAATTTTGGGGTGTAAAAAAGCAAGTTCAGTGAGTAAATTTCAATCTTACTGACTTTATTCTGTGATTCACGAATCAGCAGCATCGAGTCCAGCAGCTAGAAAGGAGCTCTGCGGGGCTGTATAAAATGGAACTACAGGCAGAAGGGAGCCGTCAAGAAAGTTACACCAGCGAAAAGCAGATTGGTTGTGTCAAGGTCGCCTTCCTTTAGGGGCCAGGATGGCAGGGGGCGGACCAGGCAGGCGACTGAACGAGTCCCGACTAGGCTGTTCCGACAGACTGGCTGAAGATTCCGTCTGGGGAGAGCTGAAACTAAGTCTCGGTTTGGTGAAGTGGGGCTTAGCGTAAGCGACTCATTTGGGGCCTGCTGTCTTGTTTTTAACGGGGTTTACACATAATTTTTTGATAACTTGAAAGTTAACCATGCTGGAGGTTTTAAATCATTTGTTTGTACAGAAAATGGTAGATTATCTTTGGATGCGGCTCTTTTCTTATCCACGAGGTGGCATCTAAACCTTTTCGGGAAGCACTGAACCGGTTCTGTGAATGCCTTCTGCCCAAATGGAGACATTTTTCTTGTAATCAAAAAGACATGGGGAGTGGGGAGGACTGTTTGATTTCAGACACAAGAAGATTAAGACTTTTCTCTTTGAAAGATTTAAGGATTGATTTGAGCAAAAATCCATTCAAATTGAGCAGCAGCAAAGCCTTAGAGGTTCGGAGCACTACTTACTTCCCAGACAGGAGCTGAGGGCGGAAAATTTTATAGAGGATGCAGAAGCAAGGAAATCATTTGATTGGCTGTGGCTTAGGTGGTCGTGCCATTTGGGAAAGCCTGACTGGCTGCTGGTGACTGGGTTGTTTTTCCTGCTCTTGAGGCATTTGCAGGAAATATTCCGCTTAGGGTTTGGTCTGCTTAGGTAGGCGAAGAAGGGGTTAAAACCACCTCAGTTCAAAAGCCTCCCTGCATCGACTTTGATATCATAAAACACTATTTATAGCATAGAGACAATGCTCCATGAAGGAACATAAATCATTCGTTTATAAAAATCTTCAGAGACCCTGTTTCAAAAAATACCAATCGTATATCTGTCCTCAGCAATTTGGTATTTAAGGAATTAACTGTGATAACACTGGAAAATATATATGGAAATTTAAAAATGGGAGAGTCGTACATATAACTGTCCCAGCTTGCATGATATTTTAGAGAAAACTAATGATGCATATTTAACTTTCGATCCCATTCAGCTAGCACAATTTTAGGCCTTACTCCTCGTATTGTGAGCCCCACTTCAGACCCACTAATGGTGAAGGAGTTCAGAACACACCACCCCGAAACACGTCGCTCTGGCATTTGGATGATTTTGAGTTAAAGGCACTTGAAAAACAGCAAGTACAAGAAAAAACACTCCTACCTTTCTGCATTCTCTTAAAAGCAGGAAATTAAATTCCTCTATGAAAGATGTGCTCCTTATACCAGGAGGAAAGTAACGTTTTTCATCGTCAGGGATGAGAAGTTGAGACCGAGAGAACTCTACACAAACTTGATTTGTTCAAATGATTCTTAACTTCCTCTAGTCGTCCACATCGTGTAAATCACTTTTCGACAATTGCCCACTTTGTTCAACCTAATATAAAAGCAAGTTAGTGTCACCATTTCTCTGGGTCTTCATTCTTTATGAAGTCTTCTGGGTCCTGGAAGACTCGTGTTGAATACATTGGCGTGCTTTTCTCCTGTTAATCTGTCTCATGTCAATGTAGCTGTCAGGCCCAGCCAAAAATAACCCTAAGAGGGTGGAGGGGGGCAGAACTTGCCGCCACAAAATATGCCTCTTTGGCATGAGGATTTTTTTAGGCTGATCATTTTTGAGAAACAGCAGACAATGGAGAGGCTTTGAAAACTGAGTCGTTACCCTTTTGTAAAAACACATTTACATTGTTAAGGGAAATCTCCATCTGTAAGGGTGTCTTCCTCTCTGTGCCTGGAAGAGGAGGATGAACTAAATCTAGAAATTCTTATCAGTCTTATCAACTCTTATATTAAGGCAGGAGTTAAACCTGCATAACAACTATACTCCCGTTTCCTGTGCTTTTCCTGACAACTTCCTTTCACTCGCTCTCCCAAATCCAACATCTTTTGTCTTTAGCTGGAGATGGTATTTATGGCGGCTGGGCCGTGTCTGGGAGTTCCTCACTTTTCCTGGGTGTCTCCCATGTACGCAGGGAGCATACAGGTTATTCAACTTCTGTTGGTTTTCCTTGTGTTAATCTGTCTCTTATTACAAGGGATCTCAGCCAAGAGGCTAGAGGGTAGGGGGAACATTATTTCTCCTTCCCCATGTCAACCACGAATTGGCCCTTGCCATGGGCACTTGCCATCCACCTCTACAAGGATTAAATCACATGTTGCTGTGGCTGCTGACCTTCGACACCCCCTGAAAGGAGCTCAGGGTGGAGAGCAGAAATGAGGGACTCTGTGCTCTGGGAAAAACTGGCAAAACAGGTCTTCAGACAGTTAGATATTTCCAGGAGCCAATTTTATGAACCCACTTCTTGTATCTCCTCGTATCTAGAAAAGCACTAAAATCCTTCATGGTGACGTCTGCTCCTCGTGACTAGCAGAAACCTTCTGCCAAAAGATATGTGTTTGACTGCATGTACTCCCCCTTCACCAAAATCACATCTATACTGACCTTCCCCCCAACCTCTTTGGAGCGATTTCTCAGAGCTCTCTGAGATGCTGTCTCCCAGGCTACAGTCCTCATTTTGCCCCCAGTACAACTTAACTCACGACTCTCACATTGTGCTTTTTTTTTTTTTTAAGTTGGCACTCACAAGGGTAAAGGTAAACGCTGGCTTCCAGAATCAGAGTCTGTGTTTTAACAACATCTTTGGAGGTTAAAGTTTGAGAAAACTGCCTTTATGGCACTTAAAGTCTGCAAGGTTGAAGTGGCTGCTTTGACAGCATTTCACCTGCTGGACCAGTCCCCTCTCATGCTTTGGCCACTAACAAAGTCTTTTGCTTACCCCTGTCTACTTTCTCCAGGGCTTAAAGGCACTTAGCTGGCTCTTCACCTCAAGAATAGGTCACTACTCAGCCATCAAAAAGAAGGAAATTTTGCCCTTTGCAACAACATGGATGGACCTGAAGGGCATTATGCTAAGTGAAATAAGTCAGACAGAGAAAGACAAATACTGAATGATATCACTTACATGTGGAATCTAAGAAATATAACAAACTGGTGACTATAACAAAAAAGAAGCCGACTCACAGATGTAGAGAACAATCAAGTGGTTAGCAGTGGGGAGAGGGGTAATATAGGGTAGGGGATTCAGAGGTACAAGCTGTTATGTATAAAATAAGCTAAAAGGATATATGTAGGGAATATAGCCAATATTTTATAATAACTATAAATGGAATATAATCTTTAAAAATTGTGAATCACCTGTAACTTATTAATATTGTACATCAACTATACTTCAATAAAAAAGAAAATAGGACACTAACCTGCATGCTTCATGGCTCTGATGACCTGTGCCACAGGTGGGTATGAAGGAGTGGAGGTTTCTCAGAACACATCCACCTTGAGTATGTTTTTCTTACATCCACACTCTTCTATTTTTAAACTCCAGGTTTAGAGAACTCACCCTCCCTTCAGCTGACTTTTTCACATTCTTCATTCAACATTTTGGCCAGGTTTGGTAGGGTCACCACTTCCTGTCACCAAGGTTTTCCTCTGAACTCATCTCTCTGGAGATGTCCATCTTAATAAAGGAAACAGAAAGAAAAGGAAGGCTTGGTCCTTTTCCTATGTTGTTCAATTTTCTAAATACTGAAATGAAATGCTTTTTGCTAACAGGTCTTCTGCAATAATGAATGATCTACCAAGTTTAACTGAAAATATTCTAATTTAAAAAAGAAGCATATATTTTTACCTCAACAGGATAGCTTATGTGGGGAGACAAAGTAAATAGCCTCAAATCTTTATCTCCCTTCTTCTTCCCTAAAAAAGCATAAAAACATTTACATACATAAACAACTGAAGAAAGAGCTTGGTGATTCTACTATCAGAATACTTGCACAAAGCGAAAAACGCTCCAATCTGTTGTATTTGGCAGCATTCCCCCCCCTCAACTGTTCATCTACAGTGATTAGTTGAACAAATAGGGGCAAGAGATTAAAATCTCTCAAAGGAAATTTTCTGGCCAGCTCTTGGTGGCGGACTCAAAATACTAAAACATAAGGGACCACTTCTGATCAACCTATGTGACTACAAAGCACCCATATAGGAGACAAACATTTGTGAGTCACTGAAAATAAGTCAGGAAATACAAGTGATGAATTATTTTATTCTCTCATGAAATCTAACACATTAGATGTGTTCCCCCGTATGTGTGTTAGATATTGGGCTACAACTGGATACGTGATATTAACATTGGAGTAAAACTACACTTAATAATAACTTGGATTTTTAAATTTAATTTAATTTTATTTTTTACTGCTGGAGTCAAATTCACTCCAGTGACTTTTTTCACCAATATTGTATTGTAAAAAATTTTGAACATACAGAAAATTTGAAAGAACTGTGCAGGGAACACCCACACGCTCAGTACCCAGATCCTGCGTGAACACCTGGCTCTCGGCCCATCTGTCCATCCTCCATCTGTCCGTCCTTTTCCGGGCACCTGGTTCCCTTTAGTTTCTGCACCTTTGGTCTCTCTCCAGAGGTTCCAGGCAGTTGTTGTTTTATGTTTTGTTGAAAGGTGATCATTCTATAAGGCAAGGCTGGGCTTGTGGGAACCACTTCCCCATTTCTGGAAGCACAGCCCTTCCTTGGGTTGTTTTCTGTTTTGTCCCTTGGAGACTGTTCTCAGAAGTTAAGCTTTTCCCCTGACTATGAAGAAACAGACTCTCCCCTCTTCTCTCTAGCTCCCACCAGCACAGGACGGCATGGCTGTGGGTCCCACTGGGACACCTTCCTTCCCTCCTTCTTCTCTGTTTCCAGGTGGTCGCTTAGGTTGTCTCACCTCCGTGGAGAAGGCGTCCAAATGTCCGACTCTGGACTCCTCTATGCATATGAGGTGTCCCCCCACCCCCGACCAGCAGCATCCCACTGCGGGGGCAGGAAGAAGGCTCATACCCGACCATTTCCCTTCTTTGATGTTGACTTGACTAACGGGAGAAATTCAGTTTCCTCGCCACACTCAACGGAGGAAGTGATGGGCACTTTTCCGTTATCCTTCTCTGAGTCCTGCTGGCCACCACAAGGCCCTTCAACTCAGCTGGGCACAGGGCTCGGCCAACCAGCCACTGTCCGAGCGCAAGTCTAAGCCAGGATGGGACGCCAGGGCCTTGGCTTGCAGCGACCCTCGTGCTTGACCGGTGATTCTCAGGAAGCTCCCGTCCCATTCACAGGAAGAATCCAACTCACCGATTTCCTGAAGTGGAAAGAAAGCATCCTATCCTCTGCAGCAGGGAAGGTGGGATCAGCTCTCACTGCAAATGAGGCCCAAGGAAGCCAGCTGACACCCGCCCCGCTGGACTCCTCACCAGTGGGTGGGCTGGGACCAGGAGACTGGGCTGTGGCGCAGGTTGTGGGCCACAGGGTCAGTCCTGCCATTTGGGGGAACGCTGAGGTGTCTGGTCCTAACTGTTGGTGTCTCTTTTTAGAACGTTGTGAACTACTGCTTCTTTATTCTCAGTTAACGACTCTACTCACCGCTTCCTGGGCCGGTAGAAACCTCCCACGAAACATGCTTTTCCCTGAAAAGATGATAGACGAACATGTTTCAGTTGTCTTGACTAACACCTCTGAAAATGAAACTCAGTGAGTGCCTGGCAATTGTAGGAACCCTGATTGACAGGGATAATTCAAGACAAAATCCTTGCTTAGATGCACTCACGATGCGTTTATCATTATAAAAAACACTGAGAAGACTCTTGGAGGGCTCACGCCAAGGAGTACTTCCCAGAACTTCTGCTGCCAGTGTCCTTGTCCCCACGGTGAAACAGAGCCACCCTCCACCTCTGTAGGAGACCCTCCAACACTAGCAGATACACCAGAAATACATATACACATGGAATAACTCCTACAGAACACCTACTGAACGCTGGCAGAACACCTCAGACCTCCCAAAAGGCAAAAAAGTCCCCACATACCTGGGTAGAGCAAAAGAAAAAAGAATAAACAGAGACAAAAAGATAGGGACGGGACCTGCACCAGTGGGAGGGAGCTGTGAAGGAGGAAAGGTTTCCACACACTAGGAGCCCCTTTGCGGGCGGAGACTGCGGGTGGCGGAGGGGGAAGCTTCGGGCCGCGGAGGAGAGCGCAGCCACAGGGGTGCGGAGGGCAAAGCGGAGAGATTCCCGCACAGAGGATCGGTGCCGACCGGCACTCACCAGCCGAGAGGCTTGTCTGCTCCCCCGCCGGGACGGGCGGGGCTGGGAGCTGAGGCTCGGGCTTCGGTCGAATCGCAGGGAGAGGACGGGGGTTGGCGGCGTGAACACAGCCTGCAGGGCGTTAGTGCGCCACGGCTGGCCGGGAGGGAGTCCGGGGAAAAGTCTGGAGCTGCCGAAGAGGCAAGAGACTTTTTCTTGCCTCTTTGTTTCCTGGTGCGTGAGGAGAGGGGATTAAGAGCGCTGCTTAAAGGAGCTCCAGAGACGGGCACAAGCCGCGGCTAAAAGCGTGGACCCCAGAGACAGGCATGAGACGCTAAGGCTGCTGCTGCCGCCACCAAGAAGCCTGTGTGCGAGCACAGGTCACTCTCCACACCTCCCGTCCCGGGAGCCTGTGCAGCCCGCCACCGCCAGGGTCCCGGGATCCAGGGACAACTCCCCCGGGAGAACGCACAGCACGCCTCAGGCTGGTGCAACGTCACGCCGGCCTCTGCCGCCGCAGGCCCGCCCCGCACTCCGCGCCCCTCCCTCCCCCCGGCCTGAGTGAGCCAGAGCCCCCGAATCAGCGGCTCCTTTAACCCCGTCCTGTCTGAGCGAAGAACAGACGCCCTCGCAGAGGCGGGGCGAAATCCAAAGCTGAGCCCCAGGAGCTGTGAGAACAAAGAAGAGAAAGGGAAATCTCTCCCAGCAGCCTCAGGAGCAGCGGATTAAAGCTCCACAATCAACTTGATGTACCTGCATCTGTGGAATACCTGAATAGACAACGAGTCATCCCAAATTGAGGAGGTGGACTTTGAGAGCAAGATTTATGATTTTTTGTGAGTGTGTATGTGTATGCTTCTGTGTGAGATTTTGTCTGTATAGCTTTGCTTCCACCATTTGTTCTAGGGTTCTATCCGTCTGTTTTTTGTTTGTTTATTTTGTTTTTGTTTTTTGTTTGTTTTTTCTTTAAAAAAATGCTTTTTCCTAATAATTATTTTTATTTTAATAACTGTATTTTATTTTATCTTCTTTCTTTCTTTCCTTCCTTCCTTCCTCCCTCCCTCCCTTCTTTCTTCCTTCCTTTTCTTCTTTCTTTCTTTCTTTCTTTCTTTCTTTCTACTTTTTCTCCCTTTTATTCTGAGCTGTGTGGATGAAAGGCTCTTGGTGCTGCAGCCAGGAGTCAGTGCTACGCCTCTGAGGTGGGAGAGCCAACTTCAGGACACTGGTCCACAAGAGACCTCCCAGCTCCACATAATATCAAACAGCAAAAATCTCGCAGAGATCTCCATCTCAACACCAGCACCCAGCTTCACTCAACGACCAGCAAGCTACAGTGCTGGACACCATATGCCAAACAACTAGCAAGACAGTAATAAAATCCCACCCATTAGCAGAGAGGCTGCCTAAAATCATAATAAGTCCACAGACACCCCAAAACACACCACCAGACGTGGACCTGCCCACTAGAGAGACAAGATCCAGCCTCATCCACCAGAACACAGGCACTAGTCCCCTCCACCAGGAAGCTTACACAACCCACTGAACCAACCTTAGCCACTGGGGACAGACACCAAAAAGAATGGGAAGTATGAACCTGCAGCCTGCAAAAAGGAGACCCCAAACACAGTAAGATAAGCAAAATGAAAAGACAGAAAAACACACAGCAGATGAAGGAGCAAGATAAAAACCCACCAGACCGAACAAATGAAGAGGAAATAGACAGTCTACCTGAAAAAGAATTCAGAATAATGATAGTAAAGATGATGCAAAATCTTGGAAATAGAATAGACAAAATGCAAGAAACATTTAACAAGGACCTACAAGAACTAAAGATGAAACAAGCAATGATGCACAACACAATAAATTAAATTAAAAATACTCTAGATGGGATCAATAGCAGAATAACTGAGGCAGAAGAACGGATAAGTGACCTGGAAGATAAAATAGTGGAAATAACTACTACAGAGCAGAATAAAGAAAAAAGAAGGAAAAGAACTGAGGACAGTCTCAGAGACCTCTGGGACAACATTAAACGCACCAACATTCAAATTATAGGGGTTCCAGAAGAAGAAGAGAAAAAGAAAGGGACGGAGAAAATATTTGAAGAGATTATAGTTGAAAACTTCCCTAATATGGGAAAGGAAATAGTTAATCAAGTCCAGGAAGCACAGAGAGTCCCATACAGGATAAATCCAAGGAGAAATAAGCCAAGACACATACTAATCAAACTGTCAAAAATTAAATACAAAGAAAACATATTGAAAGCAGCAAGGGAAAAACAACAAATAACACACAAGGGAATCCCCATAAGGTTAACAGCTGATCTTTCAGCAGAAACTCTGCAAGCCAGAAGGGACTGGCAGGACATATTTAAAGTGATGAAGGAGAAAAACCTACAACCAAGATTACTCTACTCAGCAAGGATCTCATTCAGATTTGATGGAGAAATTAAAACCTTTACAGACAAGCAAAAGCCGAGAGAGTTCAACACCACCAAACAAGCTCTACAACAACTGCTAAAGAAACTTCTCTAGGCAAGAAACACAAGAGAAGGAAAAGACCTACAATAACGAACCCAAAACAATTAAGAAAATGGGAATAGGAACATACACATCGATAATTACCTTAAATGTATATGGACTAAATGGTCCCACCAAAAGACACAGATTGGCTGAATGGATACAAAAACAAGACCATATATATGCTGTCTACAGGAGACCCACTTCAGACCTAGAGACACATACAGACTGAAAGTGAGGGGATGGAAAAAGATATTCCACGCAAATGGAAACCAAAAGAAAGCTGGAGTAGCAATTCTCATATCAGACAAAATAGACTTGAAAATAAAGACTATTAGAAGAGACAAAGAAGGACACTACATAATGATCAAGGGATCGATCCAAGAAGATATAACAATTGTAAATATTTATGCACCCAACATAGAAGCACCTCAGTACATAAGGTAAATACTAACAGCCATAAAAGGGCAAATCGACACTAACACATTCATAGTAGGGGACTTTAACACTCCACTTTCACCAATGGACAGATCATCCAAAATGAAAATAAATAAGGAAACACAAGCTTTAAATGATACATTAAACAAGATGGACTTAATTGATATTTATAGGACATTCCATCCCAAAACAACAGAATACACATTTTTCTCAAGTGCTCATGGAACATTCTCCAGGATAGATTATATCTTGGGTCACAAATCAAGCCTTGGTAAATTTAAGAAAATTGAAATTGTATCAAGTATCTTTTCCGACCACAACGCTATGAAACTAGATATCAATTACAGGAAAAGATCTATAAAAAATACAAACACATGGAGGCTAAATAATACACTACTTAAAAACGAAGTGATCACTGAAGAAATCAAAGAGGAAATCAAAGAATACCTAGAAACAAATGACAATGGAGACACGACGACCGAAAACCTATGGGATGCAGCAAAAGCAGTTCTAAGAGGGAAGTTTATAGCAATACAATCCCACCTTAAGAAGCAGGAAACATATCGAATAAACAACCTAACCTTGCACCTAAAGCAATTAGAGAAAGAAGAACAAAAAAACCCCAAAGTTAGGAGAAGGAAAGAAATCATAAAAATCAGATCAGAAATAAATGAAAAAGAAATGAAGGAAACGATAGCAAAGATCAATAAAACTAAAAGCTGGTTCTTTGAGAAGATAAACAAAATTGAAAAACCACTAGCCAGACTCAAGATAAAAAGGGAGAAGACTCAAATCAATAGAATTAGAAATGAAAAAGGAGAAGTAACAACTGACACTGCAGAAATACAAAAGATCATGAGACATTACTATAAGCAACTCTATGCAAATAAAATGGACAACCTGGAAGAAATGGACAAATTCTTAGAAATGCACAACGTGCCAAGACTGAATCAGGAAGAAATAGAAAATATGAACAGACCAATCACAAGCACTGAAATTGAAACTGTGATTAAAAATCGTCCAACAAACAAAAGCCCAGGACCAGATGGCTTCACAGGCGAATTCTATCAAACATTTAGAGAGGAGCTAACACCTATCCTTCTCAAACTCTTCCAAAATATAGCAGAGGGAGGAACACTCCCAAACTCATTCTATGAGGCCACCATCACCTCGATACCAAAACCAGACAAGGATGTCACAAAGAAAGAAAACTACATGCCAATATCACTGATGAACATAGATGCAAAAATCCTCAACAAAATACTAGCAAATAGAATCCAAGAGCACATTAAAAGGATCATACACCATGATCAAGTGGGGTTTATTCCAGGAATGCAAGGATTCTTCAATATATGCAAATCAATCAATGTGATAAACCATATTAACAAATTGAAGGAGAAAATCCATATGATCATCTCAATAGATGCA